CAGCAGCAGCAACAACAACAACAACAGCAACACCCGCAGCAACAACAACAGCCGACACAGCTGCAGCAAGAGACTGCCATCAAACTGCCCTCGCATTTGGTTAACGGTACAATACTTAAGACTGCACTCACGAATCCCAGCGAAATCGTGCATTTACGCCATCGGCTCGATTCGGCGGTGAGCTCGTCGAAAGATCGGCAGATCTCTTACGAACACGCGCTGGCCATGATTCAAACGCTCATCGACTGTGACGCCATGGAAGACATTGCCACACTGCCGCACTTCTCCGAGTTTCTCGAAGACAAATCGGAAATCAGCGAGAAACTCTGCAATATTGGCGACTCCATTGTGCATAAGCTGGTGTCGTGGACGAAAAAGCTGCCCTTCTACTTGGAGATACCCGTCGAGATACATACGAAGCTGCTGACAGACAAATGGCATGAGATACTCATATTGACGACAGCTGCATACCAGGCGTTGCACGGCAAGCGCACCACACCCAGCACCACGACGGCGGGCAGTGGCGGCACTACAACGGCGCACGCTTCGTCTACCACCAGCTCGAGTGGCCGCTCTAGCGTCGGTGCGCCGCCACATTCGCCTGCCTCTGCCAATCATCACCACAACCATCCTACGCATCATATGGCCAGTTCGCCGCATGCGGCGAGTAGTAGTATGAATTTGCCACATCATCACCACCATCAAATGCACGCAGCCGCGACACCACCACCACTGCAGAAGGACGATCCGGAGTTTGTGGACGAAGTGAATGCGCATCTAAATACGTTGCAGACATGCCTCACCACGCTGATGGGTCAGCCCATAGGCATGGAACAGCTAAAGTTGGACGTTGGTCACATGGTGGATAAGATGACGCAGATCACGATCATGTTTCGGCGCATCAAACTCAAAATGGAGGAATACGTTTGTTTGAAGGTGTATATTTTGTTGAACAAAGGTGAGTAGGGAAAATGTGAAGTGTGCAACGAGTTTTCCATGCTACAATAACAACTAATTGCATTTGTTTGTGTGCTATCTTTCTCCCCCTCTTTGCAATGCGTATTTTCCATTTTTAGCAGAAGTGGAACTGGAGAACATACAGGAACGTTATGTACAGGTCTTACGCACCTATTTGCAACACTCCTCGCCGCAGAATCCGCAAGCGCGACTCACTGAGCTGCTGTCGCACATACCAGAGGTAAGTTTTGGATGCCGTGAGTAGAGAAATGCGCGCTTTTCGCTAGGTATCGCGACGATAAGGCTGACTCTGGCATATCCGCAAGCCTAGTGCGTTTGTCAGTTTGGTAAAATGTAAGCGAATGTCAATAAGGTGCTCTTTAATATCCGCCGCGATAGCACTGTAGAAAACTCTTCTAGAACCTCTGATGATCCATAAGTTTTGTTGTGCTGTTTAATCAATGAATTCATACCAACTAATTTAATCAGGCATCTTAGGTGCTTAATCTAGGTTGATTAGACTTCGGGGAAAATCCTGCATGAGAAGGAAGTTCTAGCCTTTCGTGAGTTCCATAAAAGTTACTACACAACAGGATCTCGAATTCTCTTACTCCCAGTACTGCTTCTCTTGCCATAAGCAGATGTAAAGGTCGAAGGAATAAAATGGTTTCCAGGCTCTGGGTATGGATCGGAGATTAACTGCCTTGCTACAAAGGGCGTTGATACATACATCCTACGCACATAGTTTTATATGCTAATTGGGGTATCAACATTCTCTTCTTCTTATCCAGATCCATAATAATTTTTACTTTTAAATTTTTTTTGAGCAAAGTAACTCACAATTACTCTATTTCTCTCCCATCAGATCCAAGCTGCTGCTAGTCTATTGCTCGAAAGTAAAATGTTCTACGTTCCCTTCGTTTTGAATTCGGCCAGCATAAGGTAGCAAATGCTTGAACGTGGACTACTGCCGATCGATGATGATCCGCCCAAGGGGTTGATGATGATAAAACAAATACAACAGCAGCAGCAACAAAATCAAGAGCAGCCTGATGACGATGAGGAAGAGCAAAATGCAGAGCAACCGCAACAACAAAGCAACCTAATGAAAGCGCGAAGGCGCGCAGCCACGGAAATGGCTGAGCGCCAGCAAAGGCAGAGGGAGGAAGATTTAAAAAAGCAGCAACAGCTAACCCAGCCACAGCAGCAAGAACAACAACAGGAACAGCAGCAGCGACAGGCAAGGTTTTGTTTACCCACGCTGGAGTTGCCAAGAATCAAGGTGGAGGCCGTGCAACAGCATCTGCGCTATTCAATGGAGGAGGACGAAGATGACGAGGAAGAGGAGGAAGAATTGCGAAATATGGCGGAACAGCATGAGCAGCAACAACAGCGCGAACAAAGCGCTGAAGAAGAGCAGCTTAAGCGTCCAATGACGCGCCTCATAGAACCAACCACCTCCATATTGAAGACTTCACTGCTGGCAGGTGCTGCGCAAACATTGGCAACGTTGACGGCAGCTGCAGAGCAGGTTAGTCGAAGGGCGCAGTCGCCACAGGCACAAAGCGGCAGAGCGAGCGCAAACGCCGGTGCGGGCGCGCTGGCTGGCCGCCGATCGCCAGCGTCGGCGGCAGACAATAGTCTGATAGAGAGTAAAAGACTGCAAGCACAACACCAACAACAACAACAACAACCACCACTAAAACATCAACAATCAGAAGCACGCGAGCAAAACGCGCCTGTAATGCCTTACAAATCGATATTGCAAACAGCGCTTATGGGTGAGCGACCGCCAAGATCTTCGCCGCCACTGCCGTCGTCCGTACCAATTATTGTGCGTGCGCAACCAACAGCAGCGCAGCCACCGCCACCACATGTGATGAAAACAGCGGTGACGCTGGCGAGTCTCAGTGAAATCGCGGCCGCGCGCCAACAGCAGGAGGAGGAAGAGCGTCTATTTCGCGAACAACAGCAGCAAAGACATCAACAACAGCAGCATTTATTGTTACAACAAACACTGCCATTGAAGAAGAAGAAAAGTTTTTTGCAACAAAAGTTAACAGCCACTTGCAACATGCTGACAACAGCGGCAACGATATTGCAGCAGCAGCAACAACAGCAACAGCAACAACAACTGCCGACACATGCAACACTCCCGCAACAGCCACAAAATTCGATTACCATACTGCCAGTCAGCAACAACAACAATGCCAGCACAACTTCATCAGCAGCAACAACAGCGAAAATTCTTTTGAACAATGTAACAGTAAGTGCGAGCGGCGGCAGCGTATTGCGGTGCGTTTCGACTGCAACAACATCGCCAGCCGCCTCTACAACAACAACGGCGCGCACATCCGCCGCCTGTTTGAGTAGCGCGCGCTCAACGACAACATCGGCGCTGGGCAGCAGCAAAGCCAGAAGTACCACAGGCAATGCCAAAAGTGTTGCGACGAGCAGCTGCCAAGCGATGGCCACACAAACAATCAAAATACCAATGGTGCGCACAGCGACGGTAACGACGCAAACGCAAACCGAAGAAATGCACACAGCGACGGCTATGGCAACGCCAACAACAACAGCAAATTGTGAGAAGCAACAGCAGCAAAATGCGCCGTTAAGTACGCGCTCCACCAGCAGCCATGTAATTACACGCAAACTCAGCACTGCTTTGCATCAGCAGCAGCAGCAGCAGCGTACTGCGTCTAGCAGCAACACATCTGCAACATTACTATCACTGCCACACCAACAGTCCAGCCTAACGCGCCGTCCCTCACCTCATCGCCACACCACATTAGTCACTGCCACAACGAATGCGGCTACCACATGTGTCGCCGCCGCCGCCGCCGCCGCCGCCGCTCCGCCCACAACCACAACCACTGCCACAGTCACAGCCACCGCTGCCTCGCCCTCCACAGCTGTTACTGTTGTTGTTTTTAAAACATTGTTACCTGATGACTGAATTAATTAATTTTTAATTGTTAACAAAGCAAAAACACTAAAGCAAAAAAAAAATGAATTGCTGATGAAAGCTTTGGCAGAAAGCTTACCATGTGCGAATTTAGAATTGGAGCTCCCATATTCTCAACTCCACAACTCCATGTTAGCTGTTTTTGTTTACTATAATTATAGGTATTTGTATTTGTTCTAGGTTTTAAGTACATACATTAACTACTATTTAGCCACGCACTCGCACTATGCATGCTTCCTGCGCTAGACTACCGCTGCCCTTTGCTACAAAGCCCACACTGAAAATGATTTCGCAATTTATGGAGTTTTTTTTTAGTGAATTTTCTTTGATTTTCGAGTGAAATTATAGATTCCCATGGGAGGTGGTCAAAGGCTTGGTAAAAATTAACAAAAGTATCGTGAAAGTTCATTTAGGGCTCATGGGTTAGTGCTAGACTATTTTCAGAGGACTTAGGAATTTGGAATTACTAAAAGTTTCTTAAAAAAATTCGATCGTAGGTTTTATAAAATATTTTGTACAAATAAAATCCATCGGCTTTGAATTGTACACTAAACTGAGATAAAGTTTTTCGAGCGCAATTTTTTTTATAAATGAATTTTAGCCCATACTAATTATTCCTTGAACAAAAAAAAAATTTATAAACTTTTCATTGTTTGATGGCTTAGTGTGAACCCACAGCGAAGACGACAAAAATTTTATTTTGTCGGCCGCCAAGAAAACATTTCTGTATACCATTTGTGTCGTGTTACGACTCATTTGGAATGGGTTGAATAATAACAAGTAATGTACTCTTGCTCTATACGAAACAAACAACGTTTTGTTGTATTCGGTGTGGGCTCACACTTAGCTGGCCATTTTACAATAAAAAAAATAGAGCTTAATAAAATACCATTGAAGTAAAGTTTCAATTAATCGGGTGTTGTTTTAAGCCCAGACCAGTACTGTCTTAAATTGATGTAATTTTGTTAATATTCAAACGTTAATAAATTTATATTTTGAAACTTTGTGTGACAATTTTAGTTAGCCACCTCAATTTGCATGTTTCTACATATTTATTTGCTACTCAACTTTATCTTGTTTTCAGTTGTTATTTTTAAGTGAATTTTTAGTAGATTTTTTTTAAATGTTCAACACGGTATCTTCAAGAACTTTTATTTCTTTTGGGTTCTTACTTTTCAAATAATAGTTTATTCGAAAAAAAAAATTAAATTTATTTTTTTTTTTTGTACATTTTCTTTTTACTTGAATTTATGTATTTGTTTTTTCGTATTCACTATTTTTTAGCAGAATCATTTAAAATTTTTTTAGTTCCTTTGTTTAAAAAAAATGCGTAAATTTGTTTCAATCATTTTTTATTAAAACATAATTTGCGGTTTTTTTAGAAAATCTTCTTGGTAATTGTCTTTTTACATATTTTCTACAAATTGTTTATAAATTTTTTTTATAAGAATTTGTTTAATTATTCTTCTTTTTAATTTTACCATTCTTTTTGTTAATTTTGACCCTCATGGTCAAACGAAACGAAATGAAATCTTTAATATTATTTTCAACATATATTTTGTTTGCAAGTTTTTAAAAAGCTAACTTTTTTATTTTTATTTAAATGTGCAAATTTTTTGTTGATACTAATTTTAGCAGAAGATTTTTATTTTTTGTTTCTAATTTTGCTTCTTTAATTTTTCTCTTACCTTTCTTAAGTCTTAAATAATTTTAGTTTAAAAAAATATTTTGGTTAAAACCCATTTTTTCATTTTTTAATTTTCGCTTAATTAAGTAAGTGAAAAGACATAAGTCCCTTCTTATCTGTTTCTTCTTAATGTAGATATATATTGAGGTTTAAATGTTTCCTGCTTTTCCTAAGTTCCCTTAAAGACTTTATTTTTGAACTGTGCAGAATCTAATTTAATTTTTCTATTTGGCCTTTTCCTTTAACGCCTTGTCAGTTGTATACCAAAACAATTTTTTTTTTCTTTTCGTTCGCATATTTCACTGCTTGAAATCGCCGCCTTTAAAGAATACATATTTCATAAAAAAAAAAAAATAATAATGTTAAGAATGCCATTTTGTCTTGAAGGATTTTTTGAACATACTTATTTATTTTTTTTATTCTTTCAATTTCTCAAAATAGATTAAAACTTTAAAATACATTCGTTGCAGCACAGAAAGGTTAGCTTTCCCTAGAGGAAATGTTGACAACTTTCCGCTTCAAATATTAGTAAAAAATTTTAATTTTTTAATTTTGTTTTCAAAATATTAAGTCTTAATTTGTTAGGATATTTATTCTTACTTACTAAAATATTTTTTTGCAATCATTTATAATTGATTTTTAGTTTCAATTATTCTTTTAAAAATTGTGGGCTCTAAAGTACTTCTTAAGATTCTTAAGTCAGTCTTCTTCGTCTATAACAGTGCCAGGCAACCAGTAGTCTCGCGAGGCTAAGGGCGCTTTGTTTCTTGTATCATTAACGGTAAAAGAGCCTTTATTCTTCGCGTGTCCATATAAAAAGGAAATACATAGCGGGAGAAGCTATTTAAAGCTTTCTATAGGCTCTAATCAGTGATGCTCAGAGAGAGCTTTTACTCTGGATGAGTCTTTGAAAAATGTATAAAAGTTCAAAAGAGCTTTGCCCCGGTCTGATCAACGGTTTATAGTAAAAACCCCTCTCTGGTCGTGATTTTTACATAAATGTATGTAACACATTGCTGGCCAAGGAGAGCTTTTACTTTACACGAGGGCAAATAAAATATAACAAAAGCTTTAAATAGCTTATTTCGCTGAATTCGTTTAAATCGTGATTGTTTTGTACACAGAAGGCAAATAATTAAATCCCTCTCGGGCCAACAACAAAGTCTAAGCCACCAAATCTCCGCTCAAAAGCTCTTAATTCCGCGTGAAATCATTTTCAAACGACAACCATTTCCTACCAAAACCACCCACTTGCGCGTCCTCGCTTACGCCTAAGCTGTTACATGAAGTTTAAAAAATAATAAAAGCGCAGTTAACGCTTCCTTCTATAAAGGGGAAAGAGTATTTTTCAGCAAAAAGATACAAATTTAAAAAAATATTACAGATTTTTTGTTTTTTGATTTTTGTTTATTGCTGCTGAACAGGAAATACTTTACCCCCTTTACATTAGCAAGCATAAACGGCGCGCAAAAGCAGACTTTTTTCTAGTATAATAATGCTTTTTTTACAAAACTTACAATCGATGGACTTTTTTCAGTGTAATTTTTTATTAAATATTTAAGCATAAAACAAAAACCGCAAAGTCGAGACAAGGCAGCGAGCCGACAGAGTGAGCAAGCTGCCTATCTACATACTTACATATATGCAAATGACTTTGCGGTCTTGGACAGATGGACTTTTTAATGTTTAATAAAAAAAATAGTAGAGCGTAATTTTTATACTAAATAAAATACATATGTAAGGCATACATATGTAGTTGTAGGAGTATTTGTGAAAATAAATGGAGCTGCATGAAATGGCGTGATGATGATTTTTTTAAATTTCCTGCTAATCAGATTTCCACTTTTCAGTTAAAATTAGAAAATATTTAAAATAAATGGAAAATATGTGTAACTAGTATAAAAATTTATTGCGTAAGGATAAAATTGTTAAGTACTAGCTATAAAATAAAAAAAATTAAAAAATTCAGTTGCAAAAGCGGAGTTAGAGCAAACAAATTTTGCAAAAATGCTAATATTTAAATATAGCAGAAATACAAAGAATGCTTAAGAGACGTGCATGAGTTTGTTAAAAAAAAAAACTTGTAAACAAACTAATTATTAAATTAAAAAATTTGCATGTTTTTTTTATTAAAAATATTTTTTTTAATTATGCGTGCACCGTTACCAATCATCTGTTTACAAATTTCGCGCGCAAAATTTTAAAGAAAACAGTTTTATTAAAAATTTTTGAAAAAAAAAAATTTCTAAAAAAGTACGTAGCGAAAAAATATGTAAAATTTTTAAGAAAAAAATGTATGATAAAAATTGTAATTAACAAAAAAAATAAAAAAAAAATTAACTAAGAAAAAATATTGAAAATAATTTGTGTATAAAAATATGTTTTAAAAATGTAGGTAAACGAAAATTTGTGTATAAACAAAATATACTTAGAAATTATGTGCAAGAAAATTATTAATAGAAATTATTTAAAAGAAACTGCAAAATTTAACAGCAGCTATTAGCTCGCAAACAAAAAATATATATAGATGTGTATGTACATATGTATGTTCATATGTATATGCAATTAAGTACTAAGTATATAGTATGTTATGTATATGTTATTTGTATGTGTATGTGCGAAAAATCTTAGCCAGTAAGCATGACAACCATATATTATATACATATATATACACACATACATACATGCATACATACATACATACATACATTTATAGATATCTAAATATATGAGAAAAGTGAAAATAAATAACTAAACAAAGTTGTAGTTGTAAATCAAGCATTTGTACAATACTTATGGAGTGTACTTTTTTGTTCTTTTCTATGTAGTTAAGGGGGAGTAGAAAGAAGAAGCAGAGCAGCAGAGTAAGAGAAAACCAGCAAAACCACGCCCACATGCCTATAGGTATACATACACATGCCGTTGTATAATACAGCTCTATATATATATATATCGATATATGTAGATAAGTGTATGTATACAAGCATATACATATACATACATATGCATATACAGTTAAACATAAGTGCATATACATACATAAATAAATAATTATTAATTTAATAAGTGATTGAGATAAAGCGTATATGATCCTATATTTATCTACTAAGTGCACACGCGCATACATACACCTACACCAATATGCATATAGCATTTAGTATACATAAACAGCTAGCATACATATTTACATATAGGCATAAATATATTAAAAATATATAACATTAAGTGAGCATACATACCTAATTCACATACATACACACACATACTGACTAGCTCTTAATTTGAATTAGTTTATTGAAAACTC